CACCCCAGCCCCCACCCCACCCCACCCAAAAAGAAGTCACCTATCTAGATTTAATTAAAAAAATATACAAAATGCTAATTGTATTTTGTAGATGGATATTACAAGTCTAAACGCATATGATTGGATAACACTATTTTATTATTAATATAATTTGTAGTTGTCATGATTTGACTAATTTTATAATTATTTTTTCTCATAATACAATTTTTTTCTTTTTATTTCCCAACCCGATGTCAATGTCTGATATATTTTAGAGTCTGACTAATACAAATTCAGATATGCTTTGGAATCCAACTAACACGTCTCGAAAAATGATTCTACTTTTAAGGTAAAGAGCTTTCTATCGAGGATGTGTTTTCTAGTATGCTTTGGAACCTGACCAATACAAATTCATATTGATATTCTTTGAAATCGAACTAACACATCGAAAAAAATGATTCTACAGATAAAGATAGGATGTGTTGTCTAGTATGCTTTGAAACCTGACTAATATAAATTCATATTGATATGCTTTGAAATCCAACTAACACATCGAAAAATAATTCTATTTTTCAGATAAGGAGCTTCTTATCGAAGACGTGTAACTAAAGAGGAAAGAAAAAGGTGCAAACTTAAAATGAAATAGGCACATTGGGATTTAAGTAGAAAAGACAAAAAGATAAAGAAACCCCTCGCTTTCGATGACTTGAAACTAGCAGTCAAGCCAGCGGATAAGGGGACAAAGAATAAATACTATAAGGAACAACTTGTAGGTAACATCGTTTATGGCACTTTCCCAGGACCACGGAGTGGTACAGAAAAATAAGTAGACTGCAAATAAAAGGGCAACGTAAACCAAACATCCCACATTCACACGGGATTTAGGGAAGGACCGTACCTCAAGGAGTGTGATGTAGTCAACCTAGCTAGCTGATTTCCACGACTCGAATTTGTGACCTATAGATTGTACGAAGACCTTTACCATGCTACAAGGATCCCCTGTTGATTTAACGTGTAAAGTGTCAAAAGAATTCCGTAATTCATTTGGCAACTCATCAGTAGCAACCAGCGAGGATTGAACTGGAGAGGACCACTAAGCAAGTTAATGCACACAGTTCATAACTGGCATGGCAAGAAGGGTCAAATTGAAAGTGATGAGTGTATTAATGTGAGTAAAAAGTAGTCACATAACAGATCAAAGCGTTCATGCATTCATAATAGAGACAGACTTGAATGAATTCAACAATATGCTTCCTGTCACACCTTAGCACCTTTATCCCTAAAAATACCACTTTTGATTTATTTTGTGGTTTAGCGTCTTATATTGATTGGGGAATGGACGGATGGTCTACTTAAATGGACTTGGGCAATCCTCCTCCTCATAAGCTTATTTTTGGAGTTGAGTTAGGCTCAGATATCATATCTTTACATAGTGTCAGAGCCAGATCCATCCCGTTTGGGCTCTTAGTCCACTTTCAAGTTGGATCTGGGCCTAAAGGAGGTGTTTAATCTTCCCCTCATGAGTTAGCTTTTGGAGTTGAATTAGGTTCATGTGCCATATTTTTACATTTGCATATAATATTTCCACACAAGTAAAATAGTATACGTCATTATGAACCCGAAGACGACTAGGCAATAAAGATGGGTAACTCTGGTTCTAGGACAATTACACACCAATATTATAACATTGAGATATAGACAAGAGAGAGGTTGTGCAAAGGAAAGCAAACAAGGAGGTTGAATTGAACAAACTTTCAGCTCGTCGTAGAAGAATATCAGTATGATTTATGCATTGCATGTAAAAAGATCTTGCCAGTAGAGTTCGACAATATCCTTGCTGTCTCTTGGACTTTTATGCACTTCTCCTGCAACTGTCACATCATGTATTGATTTATTCAGTCAAATCGTAGACTTACACCAGTTCACAAGTATGCAATTTATCAACACACTGCCTCTGGAAAACTCTTTGACAGATACCTGGGAAAAATAATAGAAGTTTAAAGTATCAAAATCCATGCACAAACTATTATCCAACAGTTGCGTAGCCTTCCGAGAATGATTAAGCAGTGACACATAATAAATGCATGAAGTAGGCTCTTTGATCTAGAGTTAACAATTTCACTCATTTGGGTTCGTCTTGCCAAGATTGAGATCAAGCTAAAAGTCCCTCCTGCCAAAATTCCCCTGGCTAACAAAAAGAAAGTCAAACTTCAAATTAGTGAAATGATAGTAATGGATGGCCTTAATGAGATATGCTTCACTATAACCACCATAAATGGCACAACTAACCCCAGGGGAGAACAAACTTCGTATAATAGCCGGCTGGGATGAGGAGTGTCAGACATTGAGTCGAAAACAGAACAACACCTACAGACTATCAGGTTCCTCTTCTATGAGCTGTGTAGTTCTTGAAGACTTGATCAGAAACACCAAATTCCAGTTATTTTATCTCCTTTTGAGAAGGGTTTCTTAGTTTTTCTTTACAGATCGCTGATGCATTCACTGTAATGCTATAGAAATAAACATTCACTAAGATATGTTTTCTAGTTTTTTATCGATCCAAAATATTCATTACTTTTCCTTGAGGAGGAAAACAATATCTATTTACAGAAGAGATCAAACACATCTAAGGTCAAGTAAAATATTTGCACCTTTTTTTAAGCTAATCGTAGTAAAAAATACCATTGTGTTGGTACAATTTAGGTTTGTGTTTCACAGATTAATATAAAGCACCAATAGTAGAACTACGAAACATGAAATTTCATTATCACAGGCCGAAAACCATTAGGTGGTTGCACAGTGTGCCATTAATCACATAATTTCATTAGTGAGGGACTGAGGTGACAGCAAGAAACAGAAAGAGAGGAAGAGGATTCAGAGAATTAAAACAGTAACAGTTGATGCCACTTGTTGAAGAGGGAGAGAGAGGGAGAGAGGGAAGGATGTAGAGTTGAGGAAACTGGAAAAAGGTAGAAGGTTAACAGTATAATGTACTTTTTCAAAGAGATTTCTAGCAAAGGAACTTGAAGACCCAAGATCATCAAATCCACAGTAAACCTTGGTGGTTTTTGTTTCAAGCAAAAACCTCAACAGATACCAGGATTTTTCTTGAAATTGACTCGTGTTCATGCAAATTCTTAAGCCTCATATGCTTCAGCTAACAAATAAATCTATTTTTTTTCACTTTCAACTAGAATGAAAAAAGACCAGCAAAAATGTACCCATAACCAAGCAGACTGCTAGACACATTCCCTTTTCAAATATGCTCTGGTTGATACTCATATCTCCAAACATAAATGGGCTGATTTGATTAGCAGTAAGATATTTCTTTTCTTTTGGATATGACAACTTGAGGTCATTTTGAAAGAAATGGAACATGCTTAGGGTCCTCCATTTGGTGCACGTACCATGAAAACCAGACTACCAATCTTGCATATATCTTCGACTCACAGAATCGGAGATACCAAAACAAGAGAGAAATCAGCTTCTGCAATAATAGAGAAAACCAAAGGCACCAATAGCCATTGAATTATCATTTTGAGGAATTGGACAATGAGAATATGGAAGGGAGGCCATATTTGTAAGAATGGCGATATCAGGGCCAGTAGACACACACCTCGACTAATTTCCAAGATTGGGTAACCCTATCCATACAGACTTAGATAGATAGCAAGAATTCACATAATCTCACCTCTACTGGAATTTGAACTTCAATTACTCCAGATCTTCAACCACTAAGCCACCCCCAGGGGTTCAAAAAGAAGAGGTCATTTTAGTCCTATTCATTTCACAACTTTCCAAGTTCCAGCACCCCATAAGATGCAAATTTGTACTCTGCATATCTATGCATCTCTTTTTTCAAAATCCCGGTCTTTCGCACTCCTTAAGGCCCCCTCAAGCCACTTACTCACTCCTCCATGCCCCTAAATAAAGAGGAGGAGAGGGAAAGACGAGGGCGGAGGAGACTGGTTACCCACTTTCCCTTGCTAGTGATGGATTCCCGAGAACTCAGTCTGATGGAAATTAGCAGGAAAAATGGACAGCATCCCACTCCATTGTTTAGGTTGTCATACCTTTGCAGCAAAAAACACTTTTATCTTTGACTTGTGCTTTCCTTATAAGGATCAAATAGAGAAGAGAACGGATGAATAAGGAGCAGATAAGCAGAAGCACGCATGATGGGCTTCATCTCTTCATGTACTTGTGGAGTTGTGTTACCTCATGAAAAGAAATGACCCAAACATATCCTTTGTTGTGGTTGTCAGCGGCGCAGAGTACGACGAGGTTAAACACTTCAATTTTCTGGTTGATCATTTCCATGATTTTCACTTAAACTAATAGGGGATATTCCGTGGCCACATTAATAGTACTATGAACGAATGAGAAACAAGAGAAGTGAATGAGATACATTGAAGACTTGGGGGCTCGTTGAATACAAGTAGAACTATTATTAAGTGTTAAACATGACACACATCCAATCTTTTTCCAGTACGACAATATCCATCACAGGACTCAACATTTCAAAGTGGAGAAACCAACTTGAGTTTACTTGTTATAGTAATATAGAAATATCACTGGAAAATGTGTTCGAAAGTTGTCGGAAAAGTTGTGGTTGCTGGGATGTTGCAAGGAAAATTTAAGAATATTATTTGAAAAGAGGCTCGCTATTTGGCTGGTTGGTCAGCTGAATGAGATGCTGCACCACCAGAAAGATCACCGGAGGAGACATGGCCTTGCCAGAAATATCATTATTCAGGAAACACACAAATCCACTTGAACAGTTTCCTGAAAAGAGGCACACTGCTACCGGAGTGACGCTGAAATTAAGAGCAGTGGTATTGGAATGATCGGCAAAAGAGGTGTAATTCCATCGGAGCAATCACTGTTAAGGGGCATAGTGATGTCAAAGCGATTGTCCAGAAAAGGCAGAGTGTGAGAGTGAGGACAGAGGCATGGCGTGCTAGAGCAATTGTCAAAGAGAAGGTGATGATGCCAGAACGATTACCAGATAGAAGAAAAGAACAGAAGACTTTGGCCAGGCAGACAGCTCTACACTAGAAAGAAGAAGACCTTTAGCCGGCTAGGCAGTGTAAGAGAGCCAGTAGGCAGAAATTACTTGAAACTTAAGGATACCAACAACAACATACCCAATGAAATTCCACAAGTGGGTCTGGGGAGGGTAGAGTGTATGCATACCTTAACATACCCAGTGAAATACCACTCGTGGAGGTAGAGAAGTTGTTTCCAGACGACCCTAGACTCGAGTACAGCAATTAGAGTAAGTATGAAAAGGAAAAATGACAGCAGAAAATATAGCAACTACTACAGAAACAGCAACAACAACAAAATAATGCAATCATCGAAACATCATAAAAATAGATGGTGTTAAAAAGCAAATGCAAGACACTACAAGAGTAAAGCTACTACGACAGACACCACTAAGCCTAAACCCTTCAGGAAGCAAGAGAACACTCCACTACCTACATGTTAACCTTCTACCGTAATCTGCGACCTCCACACCCTCCTATCTAAGGTCATGTCCTCAGTAAGCTGGAATTGTGCCATGTCCTGTCTAATAACCTCTCTCCAATACTTTCTTGGCCTACCTCTACCTCTCCCCACACCCACTATATCCAACCTCTAGCACCTCCTCACTAAAGCATCTACGCATCTCCTTTTCACATGCACAAACCATCTCATCCTCGCTTCGCTCATCTTGTCCACCACTAAGGCCATTACCACCTTTGCTTGGATATCCTCATTCTTAATCTTATCGCTCCTAGTATACCACACACCCATCTAAGCATCCTCATTTCCACAGCATGCACCTGTTGAACATGGGAGTTCTTATTCGCCAACACTCCATCCCATTCAACAAAATCGGTCTAACCACCACTCTGTAGAACTTGACTTTAAGCTTAGGTGGCAGAGATATATTGAAGGCTTGGCAATTTGATGAATACAAGGTATATCAATTCATAGGTGTTTAACATAAGACAAGTATATTCTAATTTAGACCTAATACTTTAAATATTCTAACTCTTAACATCGCATACTGACAACTCCCATTCTTTTGAAAAAAAACGAGCATTCTACTAAATTTAGAAAGTTTTGAGAAAATTTTCATCAAATTTAAAGTTGTTAAATTCTCTACAGAATTGTTTGTCATACAGAGAAAGTAGAAAAAGGTTAGTAGGTTGACATCCTCTTTGTGGTTTTTCACTAGAGAGCCATGGAATAATCACCCTTTGAAATGACAGAGAACAACGAAACTTCCGAAGCAATGACAGCACTTTCCAACCTTGTAACACCAAAGAATGGAACCTACAAAATTTAGTACAGAATTTCACCCAATAAAGGTTTGCATGCAAATCCAGACCCCACTTTGTGGAACTACACTGGGTATGTTGTTGTTGAAAGGTGCGCATGCAATAGACAATGACAACAGCAGGAAGATATATCAGGACAATGAACAGTAAAGTTCAAAAAATTGCACAGAAGACAAGAAGGGAGGAATTGAACTCCGATATGGACATGTGCAACATGCATATAAAGATTTTCTGTTTGATTTGGAGAGTGCCTTGAATGGTGGTTGGTCATCAGTGTTCTCTACAATAATTCTTTAATCTGGTCTTCGAAGATAGATATAGAGGAGCCTAGTAGAAAGAAGCATTTAAAGAAATAATGAAATTAAAGTCAAAGTTAATAGCAAGTGCAAAGGAAAGACAGAAAAAGGAGCACCCACACTATGTTGCTTCAATCTAGTGTGAAGATATTTGAAAACACTAAACCAAATTACAAGTATTATGAGTATAGAGCAGTGTTGACTAATACATACTACTGAGCTAGTTTCTTATTCAGGAAAGCAATGATATGATGAAAGTACCACACTGAATCCATTTCAAATTCGTGAAAAAATGATTACAAAACAGAGGGGTGTAGAAAAACTGTCTTCCCTTTGTCTTCCAAACATTTTTTATCACAACAAATGAAATCACCAAGAGAAAGGAACTTGAGAAATCTAATACAAAGCATTATATAGGGGAAAGAAAAAAAGGAAGGAATCCTGTCACAAATAATTAAGAACATTGCAATTTGTGCAATGTAAGGCCCAATTTTCTATCGGACCCCAAGGGAGTGACTAACCGCCAAAGAATTGGAGTGACAATTGTGGAAACCAAGATTCAAATACCAACACATGCAACAATGGGTGAATTGTTCTCATCTACCTAACAGATCTTATTAGACAGAGTTACTCACGCCTCATTTGTTTGCACTTAACAAAGGTCTTAATATTAACCATTCAGATCTCAGTCATTAAGTTTGTTTTTTATGTCTGAATCTTAATCATTCATATTTTAATCACTAATGCGTTTGTTTTATAAAATAAATTTGAGAAAGAAATATAGTTTTTTTAGTAAGTTTGTTGTTATACTTTTTTTACATCCACTTAGTGAGTCTAAATAGATTTGAATGATTAAAACCTATAACAAAGTCTTAATATTGCTAAAATATTTATTCAAATGTTTCTACAAAGATGGTATGCAGCTCATCACTACTCCAACCATTTTCACCGCTAACTGCCGTAACCCACTATTATCAAATACCATCACCTATCACTACCACCATAAGTCATCATTCACAATCATCACCATCAATCACCAAGCACTAACGACATTCACCACAAGTCCACAACAAGCCACCACTATATATCGCCAATCACCGTCATCGTTCACTATCACCATTAGCTATCACTATCATCCATCACAATTTTTAATTTTCACAACTAAGTATCACAATCAACAATGATTGTTAATCACTATTGTCAGCCACCATTACAACTAGTTGCTACCCAAAGCGCTACCATCACCCAAGACAATCCCCAATCAGCACCCACAAGTCACAACCATGAACCACCATTGTTCATCATCACCTCCAACTGTCATGATTTTTTAAAAATATTTTATTAATATAGTATTAGATCAATTTAGTATTTTATTTAAATTTATATTTATTAATTTTTAGATAATAAAGATAAGTTTTTATTTTTTCAAATGTTGAGAAAATGAACCATCTTAATTATTTTGTATTCAGATCTTCATACAACATCTTAATATTGAGATGTGTATTCATTCAGAAATCTAAATCTTTGATGCACATCCTAATATTCAGAAGTGCATTCAAGTTCAAACGTCTTGATCTTAATGGGAAAAAGTGAAATATCAATACATGTGCTGGTGGGAGGTAGTAAGCACCCTGGATTGGTAAGGCATGTCCAAGGCATGGATATCACTGTTATTAAAGATACAACAGAGGGGAAAAGAAAACAAAGCAGACCCATCACACTGTTGGACACGCCAACTTTGACCAAGGCAGAAAAGAGAGATTAGATTGACTTCCTAGATCTAGAGACAGCTAGGACCGGAACGACTATCGGCTAAGCTTAAGTAGCGCCTTAAGTACGTGCCTCTCCCTGAGATTCATTCGCTTTCAGACAGACTCAAATTTTGATTCGTTGTTTACGAAAGGAAAGGAAAAACAAAAAACTTGTGCTTACACACTTGCCATTCATTTGGTCTAGAGTTGCGGCGCTACTTCCCATTCTCAAGTAATTGACCCCATATCCATTTAAAAATCCCACCCTAAAGATCCTTGGGAAAACAACATTAATGAGAGTGCAATGAAAGGGAAATACTCTCTTGAAAATTTCTACTTGTCCACAGTTTCTGGAAAGCATATTAAAACATCATAAATTCTGCCCAATTCAATTAATTGTACAAATATTTCAGTTTCAATCAACAACAAAGAATAAGCAATTCAACAAAATTGATTTAATGCACACACTAGTGGTAGTCCTCCTTTAAGGATATCAAATGGTGACTAATTGGATACTTCAAAACTAGAAGAGCATTTTGGCTTTTAGCACCTTTCTTTTGGTAAGGTAAGATTTTGTATACATCAGACAGCATCACAAGTATGCTGGTATAAACAGGCTTTTAGCACATTAAGAAGGCAGCATCAGAGGTCACTTTTAAATAAAGGAATTAGATTGTGTAACATTTAAATATAGTCCCGAAAATACTGTCATGAGGTCTGTTTATGCTGCATGGGAGAAACGAGATACCTAGCCAACTAAGATTCTAAGCTGCTTACTATAGGAGTTCCTAATGAAATTTGCTTTTTATCATCTATAAGCATACAATGTCCATCAAGCATACAATGTTCATCAAGGTTGGACATATATGTTCAAAGGAAAATTACACTATGTATACATGATTAAAATTATTTTTATGTATATATAGTAGATTTTTGCCCCCCCCCCCCCTTCGGCTTCTTCGTGTGTTTACTGCTTCATATTTTGAACCCCCTTAGTGAATCCTAGTTCTGCCACTGAGGGGTCGTTTGGTGTGATGGATAAGAGGAATTAATCCTGGGATAACTTTTTAGTGGCCTTTAATTCATTGCTTGGTTGCAAAGGTAGGGATAATTTATCCCAGGATTAACAATTAGTCCTGGGATAAGTTATCCCTCACTCGGGGTGGTATAGTAATCCCAGGATAAGTTATCCTGGGATAAGGTGTGTAAATTAACAAAAATATCCCCTTAAACTCTCTTTTATACACCACTTTTACATTCAAACATATTAACATAATTTTTTACAACATTTATAATAACATTCACAACCTTAATTATTCGTTGTTTTTATGATAAATATATTTTTCTATTCAAAATTTATATTTTATAAATACAATTTTTATTTATGAATTTATTATAAGTTGAATTTATTTGCGTGATTATTATGTTTATTTATATTTTGATTTCCCTTAAAATGTTCACTCCACTACTCATTACATAGTTTTCATTAAATAGTTTATTACTCACTTAAAAATTATATTTTATCTATAATTAAAATGTAGATAACTTTAATAATAAATTTTCTTTTATTGTAATAAACTTAAAATGAAAGTTTTATTTTTAAGCTAAATAAGATGAAAGTTTAATTTTTAA